CGTTGCTTTTGTCACTGAGTTGTTCGTTTCGTTGGGTTCGTTTGGTTTGTAAGTTTTGCGTTTGATAAAGTCAGAGTTATAGTTGTTTTTGTCAAAAACACGTTTGAGATAGTTGTTTTTGTTGTGTAGAGCGTCCGGTGAATCACATATGATTTGTGCACGTCTTGTTAATGTTCTGATTGTGGTGGCTTTGTGTGATGTAGGGTTGTAAGATGATTGGTCTAGTAGTCGGTCAGTATGTGTTGGCTTGCGATAAACTGTTGTTTGTAGTTTTGATTGTCATGTTTTACCAAACAGTCGAGAAAAAGAAGAGTTCCGTATGTTTGTCTGTCGTTAACAAGGGTGTTTATTTTGTCGAAGTAATCATTCCTGTCCATGACCACATTCACGCGTCCTTTGTCTGCTGGTAAAATGACGATGTTGTTGTCGTGTTTTAGTCGTTTGAGTGCTTGTTGTTCGTCCTTTGTCAAGTTGTTTTCACGTATAGAGGACGATTGTAAGGCGGAGGCTACCCTACCCGGCACCATAGAAATGACTTATTCACAATACAAACAAACGATCAACTAAAAACATTACACTTCACACTAATTCACAATGACAATACACAATTGACACCCAAACATTACAACTAAAAACATCACACCTAAGTCACACATCACAACTAAAAACATTTCACTTCGCACTAATTCACAATGACAATACACAATTGACACCCAAACATTACAACTAAAAACATCACACCTAAGTCACACATCACAACTAAAAACATTTCACTTCGCGCTAATTCACAATGACAATACACAATTGACACCCACACATTTCCTGTACACACAATACAATGACGTAAGAACCAGATAACAAATACGGCTAACCTGACGTTTACTCCTCATTTGACTCTGAAGATGACTACCGCTAAAGTTGTCGAATTTTCAGTCAACAACAACAAAAACAGTCCTTCTCAGGACTATACCAACCTGGATGATCTACATTTACAAGCATGCAATATCTATTTTGACGGAAAGTAATTGTCGTAGCTAATTGGCTTAACAATGAACGAAATAACTCCGTCTACTATCTCTTGCTATCAGTTTTAAGGGTTTCATCAGCTGTTGAAGAGTTTTCTAACTCACTATTTTGCTTATTGACCAAACATAAATAAGAAAAATTTACTTTATCTTTTACAACTCTGCATTATTCAAAGGCTCCATAACCAGAAAAAATGTTTATGGGAGATATTAAAACTAGGCGTGATTTTCAACCTTTCGTGAAAATAGTTTTTCAATTCGTCCATATCGTTCCATGTTTATGATGGTTTAAAGTGGGCAAACGTTCTCCTGGACGTTGCCCATCGTTAGAAATGTTCGGAACACTGATCTCGAAATAACACTGGATCAAGCATATAGCACAAAAGTTGAAGACCAAAAAGTAAGGAGCGCCGCCATTATTAAAGGAACAACTTTCAAAAATAAGGAGCAAATATATTGTGGATTTATACGAGAATAATCAAGAATTTTCAACATGTAACTAGATGAACATAACTAAGAGATAAATCAGTTTATAAAAGAGCTAAAAATATGATGAAATATCATGAAATAGGATCAAAATGCTGCAATTTTTGTCATCGGTAACTCTCTGTGGTATGGAAAAACTATGGAAAACAGACTACAACTGTATGGAAATACCTAGAGTTATTGTAATCGTAGTTGAGGAGTACGAGCTGATTAAATAATCATATTTACGATCATAAACTTATCAATCCTTTAAAATTACAGGCCTTTTTTACGAGTGACTTGAAGTGAAACCTGTATATACGTTTTGTTTTATACGGCCAATTATTTTTTCTGACTCGCTTTACTATCGCCACCAAGGTCTTTTTTTAATCTTTTGCGTTATCTTAAAGCATAATTTGGCCATGTATTGCTAAGTTTTCCATTGTTTTTTTTTAAAAAAACTTTTGATGTGTTGGTCCCTTATTAAAGGCGGTGGTGTGTTCAAAATTTGTTTACTACACACATACAGTTGCTTGATCCAGTCTTTTTTCGAGATCAGTAGTTTGGAACCAGAGCCCTCTACTGGGAGAGTTGGGACAACGGGTCTGGGGCATTGAGTTCTATAATAACTGGAACGGCTAAGTGGACTGGGACCTGACGCCAAAAAATTGTTGCCAATGGACCTATTTCCGCTGAAATGATCGCTTTGCAGAAAAATTATATTCTCGACCTCCCCCTAATGTCTATAGATAATTATACAGCATTCTTCAAAAACAAACACGATATCTTTTTCTGGCATTTCTTTTAAAATAACAACACTCCAATCATTCAATTGTTGGATATCGTAGTATCCACAAAAAAGAACATGTCGCTTTCACAGGTGAGATATTTGATTGGTTTGTTCATCAAAAATTGAAAAGCAATTGAACTTGAAGCCTGAGCGGTAAAATCTGATTGAGGTTTTCCTGTTTTTGCTTTTAAATATCAACATAGGAACATTTATAAAACGTAAAAGGACGTGAGTCATACACTATTAGTTATATAAAATGATCTAAATATTAAAATACTTTTATGTATTTTTTGGCATTTAGTCCGTCATTATTTAGTTGGTCGATCAATCGACCTTGATTCTTGCCGATTATTTTTTTCTCCTCGAAAATATCTTGCTGTGGTATGGTGGATGTAATTTTAAAGCACAAAATCTGTCATAAATAATTTTTTCACATTTTTTAACTGCCAAGAAGCCAAAACAAACGTTAGTCGCGAAGAAAACAATCATAACACGCATTATTTCAGGGGGGAGTTGATTAAACTTTAGCTGCATGTTATCGTTCCAGTTTATATTACAGTTCACTGGTCTGGGGTCACTGGACTTAAACTGTGCCTGCCATTGAATCAGTGTTATCCATAATTGGACAAAGTTTTGTTTCGAAGCATTGTAGTCATGACATTTTGCTTAGGTAGTTCATATTTTGCAATGTGATCCAAGCATAAAAATTTAGTGCATACAGATAAAAAGGTTTTTTGCTGGAAAATTATAGACTTACAATATTTGTAAGGCACAGTAGCTCTTTAATATTCTATTAGTCTAATGTGAAAATGTTGATTTCTTTATTGCTTGTGAAACTGTGATTGTAGGTAAAGTTGAATTCTAATGCAGAATGGTATAGCCTTCTATTTGGTGAGGCATTTGTTGAAAAGGAAATTATTGTTTGTGCATTATAAAACAATTCTGTTGTTGAGACTGTTTGTACAGAGTTTGATATTGCATATGAGTCAGATCCAATTTTTAATCTAGCTTGAAAAATTAATAAGTTGAGTAATGACAAAACTTCTGCAAGTTTTTTTCAAATTATAAAGGCCAAAGACCACACCAAATCATAGATTATTTAAAGAGCAGACCAAATCATTGATAAGCCAATTGAACATGCTCTAGCTTAAATTACAGACAGCAATGTATATTTCATTCCAAGTAATGCATTTCACCCAGCTGTTTCAGTAAATATTTTATTTTTAATTACTTATAATGTACTTTCAAATTTTGATCCAAACGCACAAAATGCAAAATTCAAAACTATATTATTTTAGTGTATTGGATTAGCCATAATTGTTTGTTGAAGTAGTTAAGAGCTTGTAAATTAGAGTCATATTGCAGAATGTCATGATAATTTATAATCTTTCTATAAAGCACGGGCTTTTAATGTAGGATACCATTGAATCGTTAGTATTAGGGAAAATTTTTCCAGTGATTTTTGACTCGAAGACTATCTTCGTAAATACACCTTTAGTTAAGAACAGTTTGACACAATGGTCTCTACGCGCAATTCAATCTATCGTAAAGCCATTTCTTTCTTCTTTCTCTATTCCTTAATTCTGGTGATATTTAGTTACACGTTTTAGCTATCAAATAATCATTTATTGAATCTATATCCACAGAAAATCAAAATATTTCCTCAACATACAAACAAACTTGTTGTAATCGCCATACAAACACTAGTTCAAATTTCAAAATTAGGAACGAAAATGGCGGAAATTGATGATGTGACCGATATTGCCCAATCAACGTTTGTAAACCAGAGAACAATACATCTCCCAACTCTCCAAATAGAGGGCTCTGGTTTGGAACGACTTATTCTTGTGACGTCATTTAAGGGACTGGTCAATACAAATATATATACAACAAAAGACAAGATGTTACCCAATATCATCACAGTAAATGTATGCTGCCTAGAAAATGACTTAGTAAAATATTTAAGGATAATGATATGAAAACCTTCACTGACAAACTGTGCTAAGTTTTTACATCATATCCTGCGGCAAGGCATTTTAGGCTTAACAGTTGCATCTTGCATTGCAATAGCACATGTTACGTCACGCGCAGGACAACTGAGCATGAATAAGAATTAGAATGAGAACATGAATCATAATCATGTATATGAATTGATCAACTCTGATGATGGCTTTAGGATAAAGTCTTGATAGCAAATATCACTTCGTATGTAGCATAAATTCTAATTATAAGCAGGCATTTTGGAAAAGATCCCATTTAACCTTTTTACTAAGGCAATATGGTATACTACGAAATGAGGCGGATTCTGTAAGGAAACCAACCTTTATGTTACCTCTAACTAGGCACGACCAAGTTTGCTCGACGACAGTGAAAACGACAGATTCTACAGCGGTTTCGTTGTCCAGGAAAACGTGTTCATTATTTTGTTCAATAAAGCAAAAATGGAAATTGTTGATTCTCTTGATTCTTGAATTACGCTATAAAAATATATCCTAAAAACCTGAAGAATATTTCAAAGGTTTGAATAATAGAGTGCGGAGAGGATGAGTGTGGAGTTGATAAATCAAATAACATACACACAGGGTGCAAAGCAAGCTAGACTAGATCAAGAAAATTGATTTTAAAATATGATCAATTTACTTGGAAGACTGGCATTGTGTCAAAGTCTTGTCGAGCTCATTCTCATTGTCATTAAATTTCCAAGAAAGAGAAAGGGGTCATTAAACACGATATCGATTTATTCAATACAACAATAACTATATTAAGAAGATTTTTACAACCATTTTGAGAAACCAGTCTCAAAATGGTATTATACGTTCTATTTCTAATTACGTCATTGCTGCTGGCGTAATATTACATAATGGTCGAATCTTGAATCAACTTCGACGACTCAAAACACGTTTTGATTTAAATATACAAGTGTTTAAAAGTTACTCTAAGCGAAGGACGCAAAGCCTTCTTCCTTTGGAAATGACAGAAACATTTAGGCAACTATTCAATTCACATATCTTTAAGTTATGAAAGTTCAAGTGAAATATACATATACTTTTTACACCGTTGGACGAGTTGAGCTTTTGGATAATATCAGTAAAGCTATATAAAAGTACTCGTCGTGCGACTGTTAATTGTATCGCCATGACCAGGATCTAAGCTATTGTACACAGTTAGTTTACATTGACCTCCCATGGTGTTCAAAGCTTCTTTTTCGTTATGGCTGGATGTTTTGGTCATCAAGGAGCTTCGCTTGGTATTGTTAGTTGAATGACTGAAAGATGACGTCATACTAAGCTGCCATCTCTTGGTCGCTCGCAGGAAAGCCAATCGATTCTGCAAATTATAGATTGACTATCTGAGAAAGATTTCATTAAATCGCGTTAAATGCATGACAGTGACAACGCTTTCACGATTTGCATTATTGGAGTAAAAATTCTGACTGAATTAGTTACTACCAGCTATATTTTATGGTCGCAAACTATCAAATCGAGTTCTTCACAATACAACTGCAGCTATACTTCTATTACATATAAAATTCTTTGCTGTTCATATGACTTATGATATCATAAATAACATGTACCGCCAAGAAAAGGGATAATAACAGATTTCACTCGAAATGTAGCGGATGAACAAACGATATATGGAGCCTCGAAACGGTCTTGAGTCTCAAGCCTTGAGCCTAAGAGTTTCTTCAACTCAATTTCTATCACACTGAGGTGAATAGAAAGTCCAAAGTCGAGAAATCTTTATTTCTTAATGAGCTCAAAACACAAGAGGGCATATTTAGGATCTTCAATGTTCGTTGTAATTGTCAATATTTTTAATCTGGGATATCTAATATGAGTGTCATATTTAATAAAGATGATATCGAATAATGATGTCATTATTGAACAGCTGTTAAACAATGTCGAATTCCTTCTCGAAAGGGCTTAGGAAATCACATCAACTGATCAAAATAAAGTCGATCAAGGAAATCACAACTGGAGCATTAAAAAACAAATATTGATTTTGAAAAAAAATTTTAAAAGAGATCATCAAAACAACTTACCTCAGTATTGAGTGCATACTGAAGCAGAAATATAAAGAATCCCTAGAAATAATAGATTATGATGTCACAGGCAATTCTTAAGGTATTTATCTCTGTTTCATCTGTGTTCGACAAGTTTTATGTTAGATTTACCTGAAGAGAAGAGAAAATCGCAAAGAGGTACTCGAAGACCCGCGTTTGAAAACCAAAATAGAGGATTGCAAATATCCAGGTTAGACCCATGACGGGAAACAAGATAACCAGAGAACGAATGGTTGCTCTGCAAAAGAAAGCGACGACTGATGAGGATTGCCCAAAGTGTAACAGGAGCTGGTTGTTTAAATGTAAAATACCTAAAAATCTGGTTTCATTCTAGGAAAAATTTACAATCTTTAACACAACTTTTTAACACAAAGTACATTAAAGTAAATGGATACTTTAATCGTAAAATAACCAATTTACGTTGTCCTGCTTTGAAACTGAATCAAAGTTTCTACTAATTTATGTTAAACATGGTTTGAAATTGAAACAAAGTTTTAACCAATTTACGTTGTCATTGAAATTGGACAATGTTTCTAACAATTCATGTTAAACATGGTTTGAAATTGAAACAAAGTTTTAAGCAATTAGCGTTAATCATGCCTCTATATCGAGCCGAAGGCAACTTAGTTGAGATGTAGACATTTTCATTTGTAGGCAAATTTTGATTTCAGTTATAGCACAAAAGGAGCAAATTTTCAACGTAAATCCAGTTATAAAATGACGGTGAGTTAGCACATGAAAGTTTGTATAATTTAGCAAAAAGACTCATGAAGTATTTCAATCTTTTGTTCTCATCAAACGAACCTTACGATGTCAAATTTTGAAGCTGTTTTGGACGACACAGGCAATGATGTCTTCTTTATGACTTGTCTTAGAACCATTATGATGATCACAAAATTGATCTGTAAAAATATAAATTGTTTTAACAATTTATTACAAATAATCATAGGGAGATAAAGTATCTGAAGCTGAAAATCTGTATTTAGGAGAAACAACAAATATCATAGGAAGATAATAACAATGGAATGTTTTGGAACAAATCACACATTTTTGCTCCAGGCAGAATATTTATTATACATATATTTTTACACGACGATTTTTATCCTGCGCTGATCTTATCCAGCTTAAGATAAAACATTAGTGTATCTTGGTTTACGGTTATAAACCCTTGGCTAGAAATACCATAATCTTCTCTTTAAAAGAGGAAAGGGGCAAAATATATGTTACACAACGGAAAGTACAACGAATGCCTGTAAGTGCTGTAACATATTTTACTGGTTATAGGGCAATTACAACCTCAACGATGTCCCAACTTATAATGAAAAAACAATCCTTCAGAGTGACATTAGGGGCTATTCATATCAAAAATGAATACTTTGGTAAGCTTAGAATCTACTGGGGTAAATGTCCCATTATTTATATTTTTATATAATTAAAAATGCCATGCCTTATATGTACATTTTCAGCCTATTTTATCATATTACCATATTACCATGTTACCCCACAGTCACAGTTCCCACCTTACCCTTATAACAGCAGGAATAATGTAGGATATCGTAAGTGTTGGGACAGTACATTTGTCTATTCATTACACTATGATAAATTAAAAATCCTCCTTGAAAGGCTTTGAATTAGTCAGCATGCGTATTTAGTCCTGCTTTGAAAACTGTTCTCCTTTCAAGAATTGTTAAAACAGTAGATTTTTAAAAAAGAATAGAGATAAAGTTCGGAAATTTGAAAAGCAGGATCTAAACTTGCAGCCTGGCTGTATTACTTCATGTAACATTTCCCTACCAATAAGACGAAAGCGAACGGACCAAAAAATGCGTAAATGGTTCCCTCGTGAGCGGAAATGAAGCAACTGTTAAAACAAAAAAATACAAATACAAATTTTCAAATGAATAATGACAAACAGGGAAATAGAGCTCGTAATCATTAAATTTGATGAATAGTTTTTGAACTAACAACCTGAATATAAACATATTTCACTGATTGGAAAAAATGATGGTATCACTTACGACTGATTACCGCCATAGTTGTCGTAACGTACACCAACAGTTATACCGACAATGATGGATGGGAGACCTGGGTCGAGTAAAAGAAAATATATATGAATACATTGTAGTTTGAACAAATATAATTCAATTATGTCAGTACAACACTTTAGGCAGCCTGGGTATGGTCTTTGTTAGGTTAAAGGACATTGGCAACGTATTTTTTTATTTTTTATATCATTTATATCAACGTATATCTTTTATTTTATATGATTTAATCTTTTAAGTTTTTAGCCAATTGCAGTTGAGAGTCTTTTTGAAAATAATGGCGTATGCACCACTTCAAGGCATCCATCATGGAGACAGAAAAATTTTTCAAACAAGTTGAAAAGTTCACGTTTATTTGTCGGGATTTTCGTCATCCTTTTTAAAAGCTAGGTATGGATTCATGCAGAAAAATTATCCTACTTTTAGTGAAATAATTATTATTTTGAATTCATGTTTGTTTTTTAGGTATTATTACTTTATATACATGTTCGTAACTGCGAGAATAGTTGCCTTTGGTAAATATATATAATATATATATAATCAATTAATACAAAGTTTGCGGCGCACAGTTCGTTACGATGGAATGGGAGAAGTTATCGTTTGTTTATACAATTTAGCTAATTTTTTTTGCTAAGTGATATATTGGGCCGCCTATGATCAGAATTGACTTTTCAAAACCGACGGTCAAAGTTGTTGAAATCGACTATAATGAGCACATGATTATAAAATGTCCACAAAATCGAAACAAAACCTACCCCAACTTGCAATCAGGTAAACAGGCAATTTTACGTCACCATGAAGAAATGCAGTCTCGATAAGAATAGCCAGATGCACGCCTTCACACAACATAAACATAAAGGCGACAAGATAAAAATAATGCAAGCTTATGGCCATCGCTTTGCATAAACCCTAAACCAACAAAAAGACACATATTACATCTACTTCAAACAGTTAAAGAAACAAAAACAAGAAACTTTGTAATGACTATGTATTTGTAAATACTTATACTGTGGTGAACAATAGTTTGCATAAAGGAAAGTACACTTTAAGACAATCTCAATAAGCTATCTTAACGCAAGCTAGGATGCATTTGATTTGGTTTTTAGTCAATTAAGCTCTCGTCTTGTGTATCGTTTTGACTTGCTAACTTGTGGTACTAAAAAATATTTTTTAATTTTTTAATACGGAGAAGTGTTAATATCTAAGAAGAAGCTACCCTTAATGGCGAAGAAAGTCACAGAAGAAAATATTTTCCTACCTCATTTTTTGTTTTATTTACACCAAAGAGAAGTAGAATTTGGGCGACAGCAATAGCAAAAGTCAGATTGATGTGCAGATAATGGCGTATATCTCTTTTCCTAAGAACGAATAACAATATAAACAGTTTGAGCAAGAGCAATGCAATTTTCCTGTGTGTAAACCAATTTCTCAAAACGTTGTGGTGTACAACATGGGTCATAAGGGCTCAAACTAATGCACACCATTCTTTTCCTAGGTATGGTCCGATGAGCTCAACGCCTCCAACGCTCTTTATATAGTTCTAAATTTCAGAACAAGGGGGAGTGTTTAAGATCATCAAACCATATTTGGTAAAAAAAATTTGCATGCATTGTAACTCTAGATGTAAATAATGCATTTTCGCTCTGACTTGGTAGGCCTTTTGTTTGAGTAGATTTGCGATAGCTAAATCAACCCGAAGAGACCGCTCGAGCAAGTGTCCTCTTTAATATATACAATGTTCTTACTTGAGCGTCAGGAACATGATGAAACAAAGCAGGCAAGCAAGGATTGACAGTGAACATCCTACGATTGTAATGATTTTCAGGGACAGTGGTTGTTCAACGTATGACTAAACTCGAGAGAGAAAATATATAATTAAGGTAAACCTTCTGTGTTCACAAGATTCTCGACGTTTTACAATTGGCAATAATATGTAACAAGAGAGATAAATGAGACTCACATCTGTTCTACGTTGTAATAACAAGGCAAAGTTAGTTAAATGGTTACACCGACAAACGGTATGTCCTGGTGTCGATTCGTTTTTGTCAAATTCGCATCCCTCAGAGGACCATTGGCCAGATATTTTATTTCCGGTCCTTAAATATACAAAGCTTGATTCATACCAAAACAAACAAAATAGAGACAGAGAAAACGAAGAAAATCAATGAAAACAGGATAGGAGTGACTGGGATAAAAAAAACCAACAACAAGAACAGTAACAACAGCAACAGCCAACACATTAAACAACAGGAAAAAACAATATAACAAAGGCAAGTACAGCAATAGACAGAACAAAAATAAGAGAAAAAAAACTGTAACGACATTAGCAACAACAACAAACATAATTTGCAAACCATTTCTCAAAATTGTTTTAAATCAACAAAACCACAGCATATATGATTACCTAATCGAGTGATTCCAAAATGAGCAGACTGGCTCGCGATCATCACTGATCTATTGAAAACAAGCAAAAAATCAACAAAAATAAAAGCATACGTAAGGACATAAAATGGAACATCTAGGTGACAAAGCTAATCTGTGTAATGGCAAATCGATTTCAAAAATGATGGCAGAATACTGTCACAATGCATAATCATTAAATAATTCCCGATATTTCAGTAAAGTTCACCCGGGGGCAAAGGGAAACCACGGTTGCTCCAACACTTACAATTTTGGGAGCATGGGTGTCCCTTATGGGAAAGACACCCACAAATTTAGCTTCTCACCTAAATGTTTTGGATACATTGAATGCGATGCTTATAATAACCAAAATCATGCAATTTTGTTAAACTCAAAACTATATCACATATTTGCGTTAACATGCACATAGAGAACAAAGAGCACCTATAATATTTAAAACCTTCCAAAGCCCCTCCCATTACCATCATGCATTGCACAACACTATATTTATGTTACCATCATGCATTGCAGAGCATAATTTCCAGTTACAGTAATTATTCTAAAACAATTGATAAGAAAAAAGTGGGTCCATTAATGAAATTCGATTTTAAAGAGCCCCATCCAGCTAAAAATAGAAGGAAGTAATTCCGATTTTACCTTATGATCAAAGGTGATCTTGATTGGATTAGTTAGATTAGTCTTTAATGGTGGATAAACCGCTGCTGCAATAATGTTACTTGTCAGTGTAAGGTGCGTGTTTGGCTTTTGTCGAAATCTATGATGTAGTAAAACGCGTATGTATTAATTCTCAAATGATACCAATGACCAAAAATGGAAGAATAGTTCAGTAAGTTATTGCTTTGCTTCGATGATTCATTTAACAATAAAAATCAATATTCTCATGTAAGAACGGACTTATTAAAAGGGGAGAGAGGGGAGGAAAAATTAAATGGTTCACTCATCCTGGTAATTCAATTTTTCCACATCAACAACATGTTCTAGCGGCTGAATGGTTGTCATAGATACTACTAACTTTGTGATATTCTTGGAGAGGAACTTGTGAAGATTATTGTACGAAATGCCAACAAAATATCTTTGCTCTATAAGAAAAGAAATATTTTACTAAATATAGCGAAGAAATATCTTACTCAATAAAGAAAACCAATCCTACCTCCGCTGTTTGTCTTTACTAAGTCATCTGGAAAACTGATGCTTTCATTTACTTTTTTTCTTCCTTTCAACTTCATCGATGGAAACGTAAAACCAGCAGACGGAGCAGACAACAAAAGGACTATGAAAAACGTATCGGAATAAATAGATATTTTCAACAATCTGGGCAAAATTTAATCAAGTTTTAGTCCAGCCATGTAAATTTTGAATTATCAACAGTTTTCATTTGTTTCCGGAAGTGATCGTTCTTTGAAAAACAGCAAAATCTTCTGTTAAAGGAGAATAAGTGGCGACATGAATATACCCTTTGAAGTCGAACACTGTTTTTTCTAGTGGTGAAGTTTTAGTCCAGTCATAAACATATCTCCACCAAATTCCCGACAAAATGAACAATGATTTGACCGATATAGCTGAAAAACATGGCAAAGACTAAAATTGTCTCAGCCCTGTTTATCATAGCTCGGCTTAGCCATTAATTAATATCATCGTTCATTCATAATTTTCAAAAAATCCATGTGCTATTTTGCTGAATTGTTTTCATCTTCTCTTTTCGCGCCAGGGTCAAAAGAAAACTAGTCAATGAGACTTACGGGCGCTCGCATTATCGTAGGTAATCGACTGGTTTCCGTTCAAAGCATTTCTTGCTATTGTAAGCACGTCTTTTTCAAGTTTCCGTGTTTGTTCTAATATTGCCCGACCGCTCTTTCCTCCAAACCCCGAGATAAGCTCCTAGGAAGGACAAAAAGATGAGTCCAGGGAAAATTTTGAAAAATTTAAAAAGTTGAATTAAGAAAGAGGGAAGTCTACACTTTCTAAACACAATTGAAAACAAAATCGTATTGAGATAAAATGCTTGTATTGGATTGGTAAAAATACATATGTACGAAGATAGACACTTCATGTTAGAGTAAAATAATACAAAGTACTATCCTAAAAAAACAAATTAAGATTTGGAAGCACTAAATTCAATGCCTCTATAATTCTAAAGCGTGAGTGAGTGATTTTAACGTAAAAGCCCTTTGGATTGTCATGTTGCTTCATTTGTATAACAACTGTCAAGAATTGTTCTTTATTAGTTTTCTTCATAACATTTTTTGTATACTTTGAAAAGAAAAATTGCAGCTATATAATGGAACAAATCTGCCTTTCGGAGATTTATTTTTCGGAAAAATCTAGTGTCTTTCTACGTCCTATGTACCGTTGGTCATCTTCTATTCATTATACTTCGCGTAAACTTGTGAACTGTGTGCAGACATTTCCATTCTGAACAAGATATGACAACTCTTTAAGGTCTATTCGAATTACGCAGTTTCAAAAAGTATTGCCACAAATTATCTAACGTGACGCTTTATGTTTTTTTTATCAAATTATTGCTTTTTCCACTTTTCAAACATATAATACAAAAGCATATTAGCATCAACTATTTAACAAGTTCCGAATGATTCTATCATAATAAAAGAGGAGAGACATTTTGAGATGGGACATGACAGGAAGTAAGGCCAGTGTAGCCATACATGCACTTTTTTACAAGATTTGATCTGATTAGCTTAGAGCATAACTCGCTACTGCTTAAATTAATTTAATTGCAAAGCTCGGAACAGGTGGGAGTATTTAAATTTAAACTCAACCGACCGAATTTGGCAAAATTTTTCGCATATATGGGTAGGACTTATTGTTCTGTTCTCTGTATGGTAACTTACCGAGAGAAGTCTTTTCGCTTCTTCTAAGCTTCTTGTTGTAGAGCTCTATGTAATGGATAAATTAATCACCTTTATAAAATCAACACATTAAAACGCGTGCGTTGATTGGTCTATAGCTAAGTTTGCACTAGCGAGTGCAAAACAGATCTGAGCTAGATTGATCAAATCAACCAAAGAGAATTTGTAAATTAATCATTTATTGTCTTAAATTTGTCTGTTTCGCATTAATGTTATTTCATAAAAGAAATAAATGATGCTTTTTCGTATTTGCACTGTCTAATACAAACCTCGGAGACGTTTGTGAAAACTCTCAGCTCGCGCTGATCAGCTTTCTACTTCTCCCAAACGTCTCCGAGGTTTGCATAAGCCTGTGCAAACACAATAAACATCTTTTATTTCTAAAATACATTGAAATAGAAAAGTTCAGATAATAAAGCAGAAACCATACATTATTTCAAAAAAGTTTCAACATTGTCAGAGTTTGGATGAGCAGAAAAACACTCAGCTCGTGTTAATGCTATTTACAATATCAAGCTATTTGGCCGTGGAGTACAATACTAAAATTCAACCAAGCTTACCGTTGACATTCTTGTAGGCAATGCTGATGGGGTGACCTGAACGGTAGATTGGATCTGAGGAGAAGTTAAAGGTAAATTATACTACACGAAATGAACAAACATCATGCAATGATCATCGTTTGTGTTGGAATGAACTGGAATGAAAGAATGGAGGACAGCAGCTCTTACCATTTGAACAGTAAAACTTAAACAAACTTACTGATGACACGCTTGTAGGCGATATCTCTGAAGTAAACTCAATGGTAGATTGGATCTGAATTAAGACAAAATGAAATGTAAAGAATTATGCACAATAAGCAAATATAGGCAGTTGCCTTTAAGCGACGATGACGCAGATACGATAAATTATTTTAAAGAAAGCTCAAAAATTATCATTGTTTGTGTTGAGATGAGCTGGAATGAAAAATACGTACGTTGTGCTTATACTATTTGATAAGAACTCATTGAAACTTACTGATGACACGCTTAAAGGCGATAGTTTTGAAGTGACATCGACGGTAGATTGGACCTGAGAAGAAAATAAAAAATAATTATTTTATGAAATAAGCAAGCATAGTTGCTTTTAATCGATCATAAAAGTGGATACAATACATTATTTAAAATAAATCTTGACAATTATCATCCTTTATATGATAATGAAATGAAAAATTAACGCTTTCAATATTTACTCGCGCTACCAAAGGTAAGTCCGAGTTTAAAATTCGGATTTTCTTAATTTGTCGTGAGACTAAGTCCCGCGTGACCGACACGAAGTTCTTGAACCAATCAAAATCTTTCTTGGATCGCTTCATGCTTGAGTGTCAATAGCGACACGTATAATGAAACATGATTTAATAACATAATATATCGCCAGATGTGAGATTACATTGCCGTGAATTTCGCTTTGCTGTTTGGCAACAGGGACGAAACTAGAACGTTAAGTGTTGGGGAGGAGGTGAATATTTATTTATTCAGCTCTGCCCCTCTGATTTTTCTTTTTTTCAAAATCAGTCAAGCAGAGTTGAATACATGAATATTAGCCTCACTTCCCCACTTAACGATCAAGTTTCACCCCTTTTTGGCAACTAATATGATACGCAAATATAACCAAACACTGTACTCGAGTGAGTCGAGTCACCAGTATGAACGCCTGATAGGCGCATTGTTCACAAGTAAAATAAATCAAACTTACCGTTGACAGGCCTGCAGACGAAGTCGTCGGAGTGACCTCAACGAGAGATTGGATCTGTGACTACGAGAAAATGAAAAGTACAGAATTATGCAAAATAAACAAATCTAGGTAGTTGCTTTTAAGTGACGATGACGCAGATACGATAAATTATTTCAAAGAAAGCTCAATAGTTAATTGTTTGGGTCGGAATGAATTGGAATGGAACATATGAGCTTTCGATAGCTTAGCCAGCCAGCAGATTTACCACCGCTATGTAAATTCTGAATAGTATAACTATTCATTTAATTAGAAATCTATAGCTTTCAAAGTCAGTGAACACAAAATGTTTGCATAGTAGGAGGAAAAGTCGGGCTGGCTATAAGGTGCTTTCACTATTTGACGAGTATAACTCATTCAAACTTACTGATGATACGCCTGTGGGCGATATCTTTGAAGTGAACTCAACGGTAGATTGGATCTGAAAAGAAAATGAGAAGTAGTTAACTAGGCCATCACGGGTTTGACAGTAACATTCGACAAAGAATATTTTCCAGCTAATACTCTTCCTAAATTATTTGACTCATATTGTTGCTTATAAAAAGGTGGAGCAGTAAATTTTGATCATGCATAGCTACGCTAATCTAAAAATCACAAAAAAGTATTGGGAAAGCATGACTTAGGCCAAGGCGTACCTTTGAAACCGGTTTATCGACAGGTTTTGCAGCCTCTGTATCCGAAACTACAATCTATAGGAATAGAAACGTACATTTGTAACAAAACGCTATGATCTTATTATTTATATGTCAACTGTAATCGTAATTGGATGTTAGATTTGGCTACAAATGGAAGATGTTGCTAACTTTCTAGCTATCTTACAAATGAAATGGTCATGTTTTTGTAAAACCATTTCACCAAAACTCAGTAGTACGCTTGTGTAAGCTCAAATCCACTATGGAATGCTGAGTTCCAAGATAATCAAGCAGCACTTGGATACAATTTGCATACAATCTTTATATTATAAAGGAACTTTGAAGGAGGGTGAATGAATAAGGAAAATGAATGTCAGCAGGCATGAAACAGGAAATTTGCAACTCCATTGTGATTTTTCACAACCTAATACGTTGGTCCAATGTTAGAAGCTAGTTATTCATGTTGGTTGATTTTCCTGTTTGACAATGTATAGAAATGAAATAAGGCTGGTTCAATAACTTACCTCCGGAACTGTTTTATTTTCAAGGACATAAAAAAGATAATCAAAATGAGAAGATATTAGAAATATTCATAAACATCAAGTGTATATATAACTTGTATTTGCGCATTTAATATACACATGTTTCTACATCTCATGATGCCATCTTCAATATGAGTGAAATAATAAATAATACAAGGTTTATATACAAGTAATATGATACATAAATTACAACAATAAAAAGGAATAAGATAAATTAATGGGGAGCGTCCGAGCGTATTATAAACTAAAAATTGTAATAAATTAAAAAACTTGAACATTGAGGTCAGGGTTAGTTTTGTTAATGTGGAGTGCTTCTTTGATTTTAAGGGAGAATGAGGTGTCGGCAGTGTCGATGATGTTGAAGCAAGAGGGTGAATAGTTGGTTTTACATGAGTATTCAAGCAAGACAACTGGAAATTGCTAGTATGCTAATCGCAAGAGGAAAAATGATTTAAAATGCCTAATAATATATTTATTGCAATTTTGAAAACTGCTATCAATTAATTAAATATTGGTGATGATAGATATAACTTATATGTAATATACTTGGTGGTAAAACGTTGTGAATTGTTATTGTAAAAATGCAGATTTCTTCCATTTAACTCACCAAAGATTGACGAAGTGGTAGAACTGCTTTCTGACGCTATTGGTTCTGACGCTGTTGGTTCTACCGAACTACTAAACACATTATGAAATGAAAACAATAAAACTCGTGCTGATATGTCCATGCAAACCGATCTGAGCTCAACAAGTCAAATCAATCAATCAATCAAAGAGAATTTGCAAATCAATTATCAATGTATTTCAAAAGGAAAATTATAACGTTAGTTTACATTTGTATGTTTTGCATTATTGTTACTTTATAAAAGAAATAACAGATTTTTTTGTGTTTGCGCTGATCTATGCAAGCCTCGGAGAGTTTCGAGCAGGTGCAATCTTCGACTTTAGGTCTCGGGCTTGCACTGATCAGCTCTCGAGTTCTCCCAAAGATTTTCTCGGTTTCCATAGACCTGGGCAAACACAGTAATCATCTACTAACCAAGGTCAAATTTTTTAGAAAAAAAGCGCTGTTGGGTTAAACGCACGGAAAAACCGTGTTTCTATCACTCTATATTCCACAAGAGATTCAGTCTCTCAAAGATTTCGCAGGCTGCGTGAGTAGTGCAGGAAATTGTAATGACAACAATATGCAATTAAAACCAATAAATTTATCTTTTAAATATTGTTTTTAAAAGGCTATTTTACCATCAAAATAGAAAACATGTATTTACCTGTTTCTATTGAGTTATACACACACTTGTGAAAGTTTGGGAGAAACTCGAAATTGCTTGGAAACACTGACACTTTGTGCTTGTGCTTGACACGCAATTTCTTGTTTTTCCCAAACTTTACCGGGTACAACTTTATAGAAACAAGAAAAATGTTAACTGTGTGATGATTCGTGAACAAAAGATAACAAAATCATGAAACGACACATAGCTACATCGTTTACTTATTGTTAGCCGTCATATAATAATTTTTTTGCTAGCTTGGACTCATAACGCAGAGGCTCCTTACGAAAATACGAGAATGAATGACATTTTCAACGAAGAGTGATTCGTTCAAAAAAGTCAATGTTACTGAGATGTTATTAAATGCTGTAAAATTCATCACAAACTTCATTTTTCAAATATTCATGTAAATTTGTATTATGTCACAAATTGCATAACATAAATTCATTTTTTGCAAGGCTTACTTTGTTTTCTCGTCGCAAGGCGTCATCATTAAACGGCGAATTTCCTCACTAGACATGGAGATGTTCAATACGTAAAGATCATCAATAACACCACTGAATGGCTTTACACCACAGGCACCAGAGGTACCAATGAAATTGAGTCTACCAAGAGGACCAATTCGTACGTTCATCAACGTTTTGTTATACTTATCAGTATGTAAGGATTTACTTTGAAACTCTGTGCCATTGATGAAAAATGTGCAATTTGTTTGTCCTAAACAGGAAAATATTTATCAGAGAAGACGTTCTTTGGCTTCGGAATAATAGGAACATCCGTCAATTCATAGTTATTTAATAATAATAATACCGTAACAATAGCATTCACTTTGATCGTGTACCACATTTGTGCAAGATAAATAGAATTAGATGAATAAATTTTACTAAAATCATAATCACTTTAAAAGGCACATGACTCAAAAATTTTATTATTTACATTTTATTGAACAAAACTTTTGAAGGGACTGTGTATTTTCTAAAACAGTTCATATAAATCTTTTTTCATTCTCAACATATTGAAGTTTTTGTAATGTCTGATTTGTACAACTTTTGACGTCACTTTGAATAATGAGTTGCTACGAAGTTTCAAACATCCTTTATTTTCAAGGCAACCTTTGGTTGAAATGGTTTTTATACTATTAACTCATTACAATGAAGGGACCTCAGCTCGGTTGAGGTAACATGTCAGCAAATATACCTGTTATTTCTAATTGTCGACATGCAATGTGACATCATAAGTTGTGTAAAGCGTACATTTCATAAACTACAATATCCTGCATGAGAATGAAAAGTGATTTGAATAAACTGTTTATAGAATATACACTGTGATTTTCAAAGTTATGTTTAACGAAAATGTTATCTTAACCGCACAATCTTCGAGTCTCATGCGCTTTTAGTTCTAATTAATGTAAGAACTAATTTGACTAATAATTTTGCCAAACAATGCTATACAAAAATTGTAAAAAGAATTTATCTTTTCTGTCCTTTTGCAGACAGCAACCACCATCTGTGATGTTTTTACATGTCAAAAAAGTTCTTCCGTGTGGTAACAAAGTAGACGAAATGAACTTATACACCCTAATAACTTGGTTTTAAAACTACGAAAATCATCGATTCACAAATGATTTAAATAAGCGACGGAAGCGCATATACATGTATTAATCATAAACAGGAAATGGCTTAAGATTAAAACCCATTTAAAACTCACCTCGAAAGAAGGTGAAGCTGACAGCAACGTGTTGCCAAACACCAAGCTTTATTCTAGATTTATTAGCATGAAGCTTAAAGGGTTTTTCAAACAAGAAATACCAACGAAGATATCTATCTTTCCCGACTTCAAATTTGAAAAATATGTCATTGATATTTTGGTGCATAAAACTTGAAAAAAGTGTTCTGTCATCAGCAAACTAAAACAAGAAAGTTGAAAGTTAGTATCTGTTTTGATGAAAATATATATTGTAAAATTCGACCAAAATTGGCCTCAGACACATCGTGACGTGAGGTAACCAATATTACGCCCATACTATAAATTTAACCATATAAATAAAGATTAAAAGATGACCTTTTTACATGGGATGGTTCTGTTACAAAGCGGACATTTTTCTTTTGCTTTCAAAACATAAAACTAAAAAAAATTAAATCTCATTAACAACCATCAAGACTTGAAAAACAGTGAACAGAATATCTTATTGAATTAATACACAAGTTACTGGTTTCATAGTAATTGTGATGCGTACAACCTCTTTCCCCCTCGGTGAAACTCAAAAACTGTAGACTAAACTGTATCAAAAAAGGTTAAAGTGCATGAGCCGGGCTAAAATACTTTACCTCATTTAAATAAATCCAAGCAGCAATAGTTATATTAAAACTTGAAATGCTACCAACACCAGAAGACCAATCTATAAATCTTAAAGGTCTATGGTTCAGCAATACGCCATTGTTACACTTTCCACTAGTTAGGTTCAAATATTGGTCATATATTGTCGCATTTCTCTGATAAATTGACTGATCCAACACCTTTTTATCTACCGTTTTCTCAAAATCATAATGGAGTAAGATTTCGCTTGCAGACGGTTCCAGTCCCGCCGCTAAATAAATATAAATGAATACAAGTTTTTATGCAAACAGCAGAAAACAATGCTGTCAAACATTACCCATTTGTAATTTTTATATTTATGATTATAATTTTTAATTTTTTTTCAAATGCATTTCGTTCTAAGAATTGCAATTGTATTTTTCAAAATGAATACAGAAGCCCCATCCGACAAAGGTGAAGTTGCACAGTAATCACAAGAGGTTTGCATAACAAAGTACAAACTTAGGAAACGGAAAAACCCTCCAAGCTAAAATTAAGCTGAATTGGATGTTTTTCTTCAGACAGAAATAAAATGTTTGTCCCTATGAGCAACACCATAAAAAGTGTAAAAAATCAGCATGAACCTATAATTGTGCATCAATGAATTCTCTGCCTCAAAATAACATTTTCAAGCTAAATTAGCTGTATTTTCACTTGACCATTTGTCGAATGAATCCTTTTAAAGGCCTTTATTCTTCAAGATCAGAAGGTTATCTCTACTAAATTGTAGCGCAGTGCATTCTAATAGCACACAAAATAAATTTGCAGAGTAAACGAGAAAATTTAATTGGATTTACGATTTATTCACAATTTCACTCAAGTAACGTGCACTACAGCACGTATACAGTCTACACTAAGTTTCGTTCAAAACACTTGCTTCGTTGAAATTTAGAAAGATTAAATATGTTCTTGCCGAGATGGAGAATAGGCTTTTTACTAATTCACGATATTACCAGCTATGGCAATCATAAATATCTGCAGTTTCAAAACCAACGAACAAAACCACAAGTTTGACGGCAGATGGAGCTTTGGTTGTGTGGGCAGCGATAAGAGCTTCAAGAATGTATTTTTGGCAACGTAAATACTAAATAGAACATTCTATAGAATTCCAGAATAATATCTGGGTGTTTGCACAATAACGCCCAAGCATAAAAAAAACTTCCGTGTTTACAAATAGTTTCATGAAAATTGCCGATATTCAATTGAAAATCGACTGCTGGAGACAATCTTCACACAATAACATCTGTAGTCAAACTGTATATAATTAACAGTCAATATGGAATAATGAGGCGTTAAACATTATCACCGATTTTCATAATCATAACTCTGGAAATTGATCCAGTTCTATTCCATTTAAATGGTATAAAATGAAATTTTGGTTGATCGAGACTTGTTCAGAAAAAAGTTTTATTGCAATAGCAAAAAGTCTTCAACAAAAACTTTTCCTGACCAATTTAACATTATCGTCGATATTTTATGAATCACGCAATTTCCATTAAAAAGCTACCGTCATATTTTGTGCACAACTGCTAGAGATGAACACAAAATCACTGCAAACTTAGTATTCTAAAAAATTCTTTGAGGTAATGACTCAAAATCAAGATTAAAAAGAATTGTCCTTCACCAGAATGAAATTAACGTACGACTCGTATACAAACGTCAATATATAAAGCGACATATTTAAAATACAGTGAAGCTCGTCAGCTACTGTGTATATTGTGAATGGTGATTTTTCCATTCATCAAATGCATAACTGATTAGTTTCACGATGCGTTTGCTGAAGATAATTTGCACGTTGAAATGCAAAATAGCGTTATGTTGGGAGTAGAAGTTGGGAGTCATCACTCTTCGTAAGACAATTACACAAATGAAATGAATTTCGAGTATCTAAATAGATTTTATCCTTATTTGGACCTGCTTCACGAGAGTCAAGCTTGATAACGAATTAAGACCTCAACAATTCTACAGGCAAAGGTCTTTTGCCAGTAGCATTGTTATGCGCCGTTGAATCGTTTTATCATGATTCAACATTGTATGAAAGTAATTATCTTCTGTTATTTGCATCGTGAATTTCTTCCCTTGTCGAAATAACCTCGTGTTTCGGTATAGTTTAACAAAATACAGCATAATTTAATATTTAATCCGATTAAGTTGTAAATTAACTAATACAAATATAAATTCAACAGACCTTGCTTTGCTTCGTGGATCAATCAAAACATGGAAGCAGTACTTCATGAGATAATTGTATATGCTTAACTTTCGTCAACATCTAACTTTCGTCATCATTTTACACTTTAACAACGTTGGCAAAGATTTTTCAAACATCTTTCACATGTATGCAGTATAGATATAATACACCAATGCTTGTTGTAATAAAATAATTGCGCATAAACTTGGAGAACTGGTATAAAGGTTTCAAATAAATATACATCTCATGGATGAATAATCATACGTAAAATTGAGAATGTACTTTTATCCTCAAATCACGAAGAAATCAAAACATAATTCAAAAACTCGTACCTAAAAATGGATGATCCGACACACCGTATAGATATGAGATGGCAACCATGACACTCAGAAGAAAATTTTCCGCCATATCGTGTAATGTATTGATGCAATCTCTTTTCTAAATTCGTTTATCCAAATGACCGAACCAAACGTAGAGCGATTTCTTTGATTGATGTCAACTATGGCTAGTGCAGCACCGTGCTTTTATGCTCCATCTGAAATGATGATGAATTACATACATAAGTCATCTACACAACAAAACAATCTTTATATAACATCGTCTGAAATGCATCGACAATACAACTGATTATTTGATGAGAATATAGAAAGCACGATGTACAAAACCTTTCACTTACTCAATTATTTCATTTCTAAAATTCAGACCGCTATTATATCGTTTCTCACGAGTGGATCTTTCGTTATCTCAAACTCTTATAGACAAAAACCCTCGCAAATATAAAAGAACCCACTTTCCCCCCGTCATTTCAATAAAAGCAGCTCAAAAATGTTCATTCTCGCACATTCAAAAGACGGTTGTTATACGTAATTGTATACTTAGCATACTAATGAACATGACTTTTAAAGGAGTTATTTCCTTTCCACTACGCCCAGCCAAAACATCACAAGGAGTCTCTTCAACTACTAGAAAACTGTTTTTTCTTTTTTTGATCGTCATATTTGACAGCCAAAATTTATTAAGGCATATTACGCAACACGCAAGTTCGTGCAAGATGCGACTTTGCAAACCATTCTTATGTCAGTTAATACAAAAAATTCTTCTTTTCGTTCATTTAAGGGATTACTTTGACAAACGCAATGCTTACAATGCAAGGAAGGCCGACCTACGTTTAGGTGGTTCATGATTTTCGTGCAGTTAATACTGCGATTAACGAGCTCGTTAATTTAGAATAAGAGCTTGACCACATTAACAATGATGTATTTACAGCTATTACTTTTTTGCATGGAAATAATTTCTTTTAAAATAGGCAGCTTTGTTTCAGTCAAACATTTTTCATAGGATCTAGCTAAAACACATTGGCATTTGAGTTGAACAACAGGAAATATGTTGTGCCGTTTCTTGATGTCATTAAGGCTTCGACACGAATGATCATCGAAGCGGCAAGTTGAACAAAGATTTATTTGTTGCAAATCAACTAGTTAAGCCGAATGAAAACAAACTGACCACGTATCTTGAAAAAATGAGAAAACACAGGGAGGCGGAAAATCGTGATTATTATTTTACTGACATTTCTTGTAGTAAAACTGGCCTACTTATCTTGATGGAAAAACATCGTCTGCTGCATGAAGAATATAAGCTTTATTGTTATTACTAAACATTGTAACAGGATGTAAAGAAGGTTGTGCAATGTTCATGTTTTGCTGTTAGAAGTGGTGGGAAGTTCGGTCAAATTCCCAGTTTTGCAAAAAGATGACAATGCTTTATGTACCCGTTTGTAAACCATACAATGATAGACATTGATATTACGACAATAGTGATCAAACATATAGTGATCAAGTATTGATGTTTTACCAAATCGGTGATTTGTATAGGTCCCCTCTGTTTTTATACACCCTGTGTGGGTAGAGATTATAGCAGCAGTATGCTACAAAACGAAGCATTTCTTTTTTTCGGCCACGGCCCATATAGCGTGAACATCTTTCTCCCAATGATTGTCAAGTGAGATTTTACGAACATGACACCATGCCACATAATTTTCACAGAGATTTTCTCTCTCGCAACTTCCTTTGGCTATACTTTGTTATAAGTTGTAAACACTACACATCAACTACAGTGACCTTTTTGTAAATTCATTTCCTCACGAATGGAAAGTTGTAAAACCACTATATTAAAAGAACTACACGAACCTCTATTCCCCTGCAACGCAGGATCTATAAAAATGATTGATTTGTGATGCGCATCTGGAAAGTGTTACCTTTTACTGGTGATGTTATAATCACTCACGCACAATTTTAACATTCTGCAGATTCGTTTTTGATGCGATTATAAGTGTCAATCATGCAAACCAGATAATAGTACAAAACTCACCTCGACTCGACATACCAGCGTCTAAAATTACTCGCGTACGTATAATGTGAACGATTTAACTTTGATAGAACTTGGAGAGATACAATAATCAAAAACCGGGTTGTCTTCAAGTTGCAATGGCATAAAATTTAAGAACATCATGCATGCAGAACGAAGCAAATGTCTAATTAAAATATGAGATTAATGTCACGATCTGTTTTCCTATTTTCAACACATGCATATCATATTTGGTCAAGTTATGATAAATTGTTATATACTTTTGCCTCGATAACACTTGATTGGCAAACAAAATTTTCTGCAGCAGCTGATAAACTGGCGTTTTTTTAATTGGCTTCATTTAAAATCACAATGAGTTTGGCATCTTAAGATTGAAATTCGCAGCGCATTAATAATGTACACGACTAACGATGTTTTGTTAAAGCATGTTCTAGAAAACCTTTTCAATGATAACGACGTCACTGTGACGTAGCTCCTTTGCAGATGGAATGCTCGCAAGCAAAGTTGATAAGGCAAAACAAAAACAGAATTTTAGGCCCCTTCGTCCAAAAAGCAATTTTTTCAATTTCGCACATGGCAATTAGCTAGCCTATTTTCTTCAGTAACCGAAAAATTGCCAAATTATTGACATTACAAACTCCCATTGCAAGTGTCGGACTTTGTTTATTGTAATGAGATGCACGATTTGCTAGAGATAAAGGCATGGAAAGGACATATTGGGATTTATAACTAGATTTTTTGTAACTAAGTTGGCATTTGTAATTATATTATTTTGTTTTGGCTGGTTTTTCATAACTAGTTACATATAGGTTTGTGTGACTGGGTTTTTGTAGCTAACTATAAGTTGGCTTTTGTACCTAATTACTTTTTATAACTATACTTTTGTAACTAGGTAATTTGTAAGTAGTTTGGTTTTTAAATGTTAAGGTATTATTACGTTTTGTGAAATTTTTCTACTGCAGCATAAGTCATGAAATGTTACATCATGTTATAAATGAATGTATAAATAGTAAATAGTCATAATAATTTTCATGTGAATATAAATGCATGTATGATGAAAACGATCATTTGGGGAATCTTTCATAGCTACTTGGAACACAGATCACAGAATTTACTGTCATATTATAATATTGTATTGTTATTTTGTTCTGTCTCGATATTAAGCACTAGCTCTCTATCTCTACAAATTTGCTTTAAAGCTGTGTTGTATATACTTTTTTAATTTACGCTCATCAAAATTAAAATGTCTCACTATAGCAGTAGTGGCGGAGAAAGTCCGCAAGTTTTGTTATGCTATGTAAATATTTCGTCTTCACTCAATGTAAAAACAATATCTTTCTAAAGAAATATGTACATTAGATGCTTCTGGATGTAGATCGTTCAGGTTAGTAGATTCATGAGGACTGTTAGTGTGGACTGACGTTTCGACAGCCTAGCGGTAGTCAGAAAATATTTACACGGCTTCGTACACCCAATCGACTTGCATATAGAGCATCGAAAGTAATTTTTGAAGATTTCGCAAAGTAGCTTCGGTTGCTATGGAGCGCCAGCGAGGAAGCACTAACACACATTAGACACCAATCGCAACCAATTTTTTTGGTCGAGTCATATGAAATGATAGAGTGAATGATCGATCTTCCGGAAAATTATGTTTTAACGAAAGAAAATGTTTTTCGCAAATTCATTGAAGAGTTTTAGCAGAATTGAAGATGATCGTGATCAAAAACGATTTCAACAAGAACGATTATAGCTTATGCTAACATTTGTCAAAATACCTTAAAAGCAATTTGATCCATACGATTTTGTGTGCATATTCACAGCCATAAATTATTATGACTCCAACAACTGCTTTTAACTGGATGTGCCACTGATCAAATGAAGGACAACGCTAAGTTATAACGATAAACATGTACCACGAGGGTCGCAAAGAGAACAGAATCATTTTCAACAGTACACGAACTTTTCTATATTTGAATGTTTTGCATCTTATCGCGCTATAAGGGTCATGTTGTTTACTCGTAACCATGAACAATGAAAGAACCCGATATATTGTCGCCTCGATTAAACACAAGTGTGTATCGATTAGAATTCGTAACTTGCCTTTTACTTTCTCTTTGTTGACAAGTTGCAATATAGCAAGCTATCGTCTAAATTTCAAGCGAAGAGAAAGCAGCAAATGGATTATAAGTACTCATATAGTTTTTAAAACATAAAGCCTATTATTGTGATTACCATGTGCGCACTTTCTTTATACGTCGATAAAAACCAACATTTGGAAGTTTGATTTGTTTAATACTTAATCTCGTGCTTTAAGCTTAACTCTAATCTCATGAAAAATACATTTTGTTCCTTTCGCGTGCTGGACGGCAACCATTGATATTCTATATTGAAATTATTTCACGTAAGTCTTATATTTATATGTTATACATAACAAAATATATTCTCTATATAATGATAAAAAATTCCTTTTATTATTGACACAATTTTTTTGTTTCATATCAATTCATATTTTATTGAGAGAAAACTTTGATAAATATACGTTGATAAAGTATTTTAAGTTTCTTTTTCCTCGAATTTTTATTCTTAATGAGGTTTTGAATATATTGCTCTGAGCAAGATTTATCTCTGATGATTGTAACTTTTGTATGTATGATATTGCTTTAATCGGGAAAACACTTTTAAAAGCCAAATTGTTCTAGAAGCAAGCTCATAAAAATTTTTTGAAACGTTAGTATTCATTTCTGTAGGTTTGACCACCAAACTTGTTTACGCTTTGAATCGATGATTTTGTAAGAAAGGGAGAGTGGAGGAGCGTTCTAATTTGAACTAGGCATAGTTTGGTCTATAGTTGGTCCTCTGTGCATGAATGTCGCATGCTCAATGTTATAAGCACTGAAAGATACCTGTCAACATTAAATTTTTAAGTTGAAGAGCCTATAATTACCTATTCAATTAGTATACTTTTTGAAAAACAGATGAAATCAACGGATCGTTATACTCGGTATTTGGCTACTTTTGTATAAAATATGGAGTCGATGATGATACTGTGTTATTAAACTCGTAATTATTATACTCGCACTTGCTTTTCCTCTCTATTCAATGTTGCTTACCCTATTACCTAGTTACCACGTTCACTCTCACATTCATTTCAGTAAGTTATCCTCCAATATTGCTCTAGCCATTGTTATGAAAAGCGTTCGTTCCCTCAATTCCCTTTACTATCAGTTAATTTACCGATACACGTGTGTATGTGCTAAGGTTTTTTTTACCAATATCATGAAATTATTACGCTTAAACACCAAGTTTTTTTCTCCCTATATGGCAAGATATATTGCAGTCATTATTGCAATATTCATCGGAAAATTGCCGAGTCACTCTCGCTGGAATTTACAGAAAATGCTAGCGATTTCAGTAAAAGAAACATAAAAATCTTAAGAACAACAAGTTGATGCACTATTGATTTGTCATCATACGGTACAATATTTGCAAGAAAAAGGTGGAAATACGTTATTCGTTTCCTGCACAAACGACACTCGATCTTCGTTTCGGTGCAGGCATGATTTGCGCGTTAAATTGTTTGAACCCATATGATCACGTGGCTCGGGTAACTATCGAAAACATTGCAGAGTAACAAGACTTTAAATCTTACACAATATAGCAAGATTAAGCCTACCTCAGGCAGCAAAAAACCCCAACTTTTACAGCATTATTGCTTTCGTGACAGAGAAACAATCACACGTTTATGATCTATTCACAGCGAGATCATCTTTCATTTTTGAGCGCACCCGATATCAATGAAACCCAAACGTGACTTATCCCAAGGAGAATTATTATGGCTTTATGAGGATTTTGTGCATATCACGCGTTTTTTTTACAAACTCGTGATTTAATAGGAAAATAAAGTTAATAAATTCATTTTTAAACTCAGTATAAAGGTGATTGCAATTGGAATTTCAGTTAATCCGAGATAGACTGAAAACGTCACTATTAACTTTAGTGTTTACAATGAGGCCACTGTATTCCTTTTGTCAGCACTTCAATGGATTAGCTTACTTCTTTACTTACTTAAACAATAAATTATAGCTTCAATGCGAAATATTTTTTTAAGCCGCGTTCATCATTCTCACTGTGACGTGTTATTGTGGCGCAGCAAGACCGCTGGCAAAATATATTAGTTCGCGGTCCTCATATATTAAATATTTGCCCTGCAATTAAACGTATAGCTAGTGGGGAAAATGTACAGATTGCACATGCATACACAAATACATAGCATTGAAAAATTACATCCATAACCTAAAATAAGATTTCCTTCGTATACAAAGGAATGGTAACGCAGACTTCTTAGAATTATTTTGTCGGAAAATTCTTAGGAAACAGCGTGCGCACGATGGCAGGTCTCGCTTTAAATTTTGTCATCGTTATAGAAAAATCTGCTCCACAAACATAACAACAAATTTTCAATTTAGAGCTATGCTCAGTTGATCATATGCAATGAAAACACAGTCAATCAACTTGAATACAACCCTCGATCTATCAACACTTTGTCGATGAATCAAGCTCCTACAAGAAAATGCATGAGTTCGTAGAGATGACGCATTCGAAACATAGTGATGTCAGAATGTTTTTCTCAATGTTAACATGTAATTTGGAAACTTCGATGCACACATGGTCTCATACTGCTGTTCATTACATTGACTGAAAAAAAGAAATTTACCAGTGTCTCCACTTTAGGACAAATGTCAGCCGTACTTCAGAACACTAACCATGTAGCTTTCCATAGTACGTTGAGAGGATTTGCAAACTTCTCAGAAAAGCAAGAAAAAAAAGTTGAAATAATTAAAAGCGATCACAAGCACAAGCGCAGCGCACATTAGTTGCAAAATAATTAAAGTTTTCTAATGAGCAATTGATATATACTTTTTCGACGTAAAAACAAACTAAAGGACCTTGCTATTTGTTAATGAAGCTTGACTAAAGATGAGATTAATAAATTTCCTCATCCATATCCATCTGCTCCACAATAGCCCTGCAGAAGCGGCACTTTGTGAAAAGCTCATATACAAATATATAAATCATGTTAATTAATGGTTCTGCAATTATACATAGCAATATTAAAGCTTCTCGTCAAGAGTTACAGTAGTTTAAAATTATCATGAAGAGGATGAAGCACAACGTAGTTGATTAATTTTTCAAATTTAATCAAGACCCATCATATTGAGTTTTTTCAGCAGTCGCTCCAACAAACTACTTTAGTTTTTGTATAACTCGGAAAACTGTCTTCACTGAGTTGAAACAAGGACATGCAATAAGAAGTTTTCAATATGGGATGGCCTTGCTCTTTCACACGCACAGGTATATTTCAGGCCAAAAGGAATTTTTAAAACTGGAGGTAAACTTAAGACTGTCTTCAGGGGCTACTGGGGATGTCATAGTTCCTAAACCGAGAACACGGGAGGATACTGGTGATATCATGGAGCCCGAAAACGAGAATACGAGAGGCCATTGGGTCACCTTGCTGCACAGCTTTAACATTATTAAACATATTTAGTAATGAAAACGGAATCTGCCGCCGGAAGACATCGATAAACTGATCCCCCGATAATAACACGAACGCACAAGAACGAACCAAAAAGTCAGCAACAAATACGTAAGAGGGAAAGAATGAAGAGCAACTTTCCTCTCATAAGAATGTCAATAAAGACATGTGTTTCTAAGTTGAAATGAACAATAAAATGCTATGGTTTTTAGGAGGCTTATATTGAGCAAAGGCTATTTTTTAAGAATCAGTGTGTTGTCGAACAGTCAGTATTGGCAAATTCGCATGGTTAAAGCAAACAACATAGTCAAAGTGAAATTTAACAGAACACTATAACTGTTCATCTAATAAAGTAAATGGTTTGAGTACAGGAGTATCTTTACATGTTTATAGATTTAAATAGTCCATATTAGTAGAGTCCTAAAAAGGACTGTTGGTATTGATGTTGACTGAGGTTATCGAAGCGTCAGTTAACATCAACCCAAACAGTCTTTCTCAGGACTCTACTAACCTGGACGATCTACATGTACAAACATGATCCTCTAATAATTCTAAATTATTGCGAGTTGGCCATTGTCATTTTACTCTTTATACACAGCTAAATCCAGTTGAAGCTGGCTCATTTAAGCAGTTCCTTAAATGCGAATTGTTAAGGGAAAATGTACTTTCATGAAAATTTCAAACACTTCTACAGCTCAAAATGCCACGAGACAAGTTTTTAAGTCAAATCAACCCCATCATCTGCAGCTTCCGGAAGTAAACGAAGTTTTTGAGAGATCGATGTAGCTGACATGTGGCTGTTGCAAGCTATATTTTTAGATACACGTAGTCTTTAAATATCTTGGAGGAAAAGATTACATCGCACCTTATGACTTTGAAGGGGTCCACACGTGAAGATAACGCGAATACAGAATAGTTAACGGTTCATTCTTGATGCAAATGGAGGAGAAATTAAAATTAGGAAGACAAGTTTGATATATGTATAATTATCATGGCTCGTTATACATTAATGGGACACAATATTCCATTAAAAAAATTCTATGTTTGAGTAAAGATGCAGGTGTTATTGCAAACGCTTTTCCCTGGCCACGGATTTTTCGCGCTCGAAGGAGTAATTAACAAGTAATACGTCCATTAAATTAAATAAATTGTTCGACATGACAAAGGCAGATATTTACGTTGCAACATCAGACTAACATAGAGATATGACATGATATCAATAATCATATAGTTGCAATTTGAGATAAAATCAACAAACTTAAGTGATGTAGCGTCTCTAGGACGCTTTGCATATCTTTCGAATATCGCAATTTATTGTCGTTCGCGTTGTTTGCAGAACAAACCTTGCGTTCGTCATTATCTGGTCTTTAAATATTTATCACGTATGAGAATATAACAAAATATAGCTCAATAGTTTAAAAACATGTCTTTTTTTAATCGGAGGATAGTTCAATACTATATGTGGTGTATCAGTGAAAATGTGTATAGCTATATAGAATTTGACAGTTATGTAGACAGTCACTTGATATCGAAATAGCGAAAACGATGAGATCGTACCTTTTGTGAGAAAGAAAAATTTTCATGTTAAAAAATTTCGGATAACTCGAATTGTGAAGTTTTCTGAACAAAAGACAACAAACACAAAAAGAAGAGGGGGAGGATACTCGCTTAACACGTTCAGTAGAAATGGATAGGCCGAGAACAGAGTTAAGGCACAGACAGATTTCGGAAAAGATCTTCGGAGCGAGGGTAAACTGAGAGGCATAAAATATCCTAAAATATTCAATGAGAGTGAAAACTAAGTTGTGGTCGTTGATTTCAACATCCTAAACATCCTAACATTTTCAGTAAGAATAGGTAAGCCGAAAACTGAGGTCTGAGAGTCATGGAAAATTTCCGTAAAATTAGAAATAACGGAAGTCAGAAGACCTGTTGTAAGACAGTAAACTGAGAAAAAAATCCAAAAACGTTCAGTAAAAATGAAGACAAATTTCGGGTTAAAAATTTCAAAAATTAAAGGAGTCTTCAGACTGACGTTAAATAAATACAAGTCGAGAAAAGCGTTATATATCTATTTTATTATAAACGTCCGGAAGACGTATCTGTAAAGTTGATTGATTAAAAAAAGGGTATGCATCTTATGCCCTATTTTTAAGACAAAAACTTCGGGCCATTCACGGCAGTCTTAAAGAAGTGACCATTTATTTAGTGACATTCATAAGCATCGATTAATACATCATACACATGAAATTACACAAAGTACTCGCTAATACCTTCGCCAAGTTCTCACGTTTGAGGAGATGGTTTTGTGATCACCCGCACAGAAGTCAGGTAGATATTTGGAATAAATCTTTTCCACTTTATGTTCTAAATTTATCCAACATTGAAGCTCAAAATACCAGTTAGCTATCTGCAAACGCCGCTAACGCGTGTGGCTCGCTAGAATTCCAAAGCAACAAAGGTCAGCGTGTCAACATGTGTTGAATTTAAAGGCAAAGTGGAAAACTTCCAGAAAATCATGGAACGTGCACGAACAAGTAAGTCGTGAACTAAAACAGTTGTTTTTTGACAGATAGTCGTCATGTTTAAAAAACATATAATGGGCCTTTATCTAAATCTATACACGTCATGTGAGAAAGTAGCTACACGTTTCATCTTTTAAATGCTGCTTGCTTCCAGCGTTCTTCCATGTGCATGAGACATGAGTTGCTGGTGGCATCCATTGTTAATGCTTGCATATCTATGAGCTGCCAGCGGCATGCATTTGTAATGCTTGCATGTGCATCAGTTACCAGGCAGCGTACATTATTGACATTTTGCATGAGCATAAGCTGCTGGTGGCATGCATAATTAATGTTTGAAGTGCGTGAGTAGCTGACAGCATCCGCGTTGTTGATGCTTGAGTTTACACAAGTATGGAATAAGTTTATTACATCGACTTAAAACCTCTACGCCTGCATAGGGGTAAAATACTTTTCGCACTCGCGTAATGCGTCTTATTCGGCTTCATTCTCCATAAGCAAACATATATATAGTTGTGATCTACCACAAAGCCTGTGGCGTTGGATGTTAAGCGAACACCGTGCATATTGTCCTATGCCTGATATTTTTCTAAGCAGTTACATCGGAAATGTGATATTTTTCTAAGCAGGCTCATCGGAAATAGCAAAGAGTTGATAAATATTACAATTTTTTTGATAACAGATCATCTCACGAAATTCGGGTGTTTTTTTCACATTCTGAGTGACAAACTCGTGTTTCAATTCAAACAAACACGTTTATAAATTTCTAACTGGATTGACAACTATCGAAAGATGCCAATCCTTTTTTCAATACTTCTGCTAGCTTTAAGCCGTATTTTTAAATAATTCTGTCAGCTTTAGACCATTTTCTAACTTCCTACATTAAACATGAAGCCATTTCTAATCTCGAGTGAGGACTAAATCAAATCAAGTACACTTTCAAAAAAATCGCTAAAACATAACAATAAGCGTCACGAGAGGCAAAAACGAGAAAGTTCAAAGAAAAACACGCAGCTGTAAAATGAAACTCGCGGAGAATTATGATGATTGTGTTTAATATATTAATCATCCAGAAAATTCTTTCTAAAAACACACAGCTGATCCAAATGAAAACCATTTTGTTTGCGGTTATGAAATTTGTTCGAGTACATTCAAGACTTAGCATATATAAGCATACAAGGTGTATATAGGAGGGGCTCAGAGAGTTAAGCAGACAGAAAGATCAGTTATTTTCGTCTAACATTTTGATTGTTGCCTTTTTGCTTTTCGTTTCAAAAGAAAAAATGCAAAAAACTCATTGAAAATATATCCGGTAAGCTCAAGGTATTTTTGCATGTTTAGCTAGGGATTTCGCCACGTTTTTCAGTGTGTCCCTTTTAACGACTGCAAATCTGATCAAATCGGCTGAGGTTTTGAAAGACCAAACGAAAATTGCCCTGGTCTTGTTGTCCAAATACTGAGCCAACAGCAGCACAATTCTTGTCTTATCTTCACAGTTATTATATCAACAGCTGTTGAAGGGTCGGTGGACATCTGTTTAGTAAATTCAATTCAACTCCAACCCATATTATTGTAAAAAAACAAGTAGACACTCTTGGCTGACGCATGCTGTTGCAAGACTTAAATTCCATCTTAGATGAAATTAACGAATTAGCCGGAAAGTGGTTGACTCAGTATGGGTTATTTAGATGCTTAGAATTATGGACACTTAAAAACCTCATAGAGAGAAGGCTTCTAATGGCATATAGCGACAACTTGTCCTGTTATATACACGTCAGAAGTACATAAAGACATGTGTTTTAACTTTACAGCTAACAAACAGCTTCACTAACACTTACAGCTAACGAACAGCTTCACTAACACTTACTTCCAACTACAAGAGCAATACTTCGATCAGATTATATCTTTTGTTTTGATTTCGTGCGTACAGCTACAATTGAACTTTGACAAATGTGTTTTACTGAACTCCATTAAGCCAAATAAACGCGGTTTGTAAAACAACAGCTAATTGTCACAATTGCAACAAAAATTGGCCTTTTAAACCAATAAGAGCGTGCGACTTCAAAATACAGTTAATGCGCAGATGTCAAGAACATATTAAACTACGTCAGATAAAAATTGTCTAAATTTAAAAGGCTCATAAAACATTATCTGTCATCGATTCGTCAGTCTCTCAACATTTTAGAGTTTTATTAAAATTGTGTTCACCGCATGACAGCATTTTATAAAATTGCAACTTTTCGTCGAAGGGTTTGAGTTGTTTTTGCCGACGACATTCAAAACATCAACAGGCCACACATTGTAGCTTGCAAATTCTCGTGCTGCGCAAGATTTTTACTTTTTCTTTTTGTAAGAGCGAAACGATTTTTAGGAATATAATGATGAATATTGATAGTGTTATTGTTGAACTTGGTGTTTAAACTTCCTATAAATAATTCTACTAAATAATTTATATTAAATTCTAAAATTAGCAAACGGTGCAGTAGAGAGCCAAAATACTTTAAACCAGGGGTCTCCAAACTTTACAGACAGAGGGCCACATGAACTTTCATCCAGCATGTTGAGGGCCGAAGAATATAAAAATTTCCACGTTATCCTTCAGCTTTTTAAATTTCACAATGTGCTTGAAACGGAAGTAGGAAGCTGGGAGAAAAATTGACGTAAGCCACTCTTGCTAGTTGGCTTGCGACATAACGTGAACTTTCTGCACAAAGTTTATTTTGTTTAATAATAATATTTTTTTTATATGTTTGTAAATGATGATCGTCCAGGTTAATAAAGTCCTGAGAAGGACTGTTTTTGTTGTTGTTGACTGACGTTTCGACAACCTTAGCGGTAGTCATCTTCAGAGTCAAATGAGGAGTAAACGTCAGGTTAGCCGTATTTGTTATCTGGTTCTTACGTCATTGTATTGTGTGTACAGGAAATGTGTATTGTCATTGTGGATTAGTGTGAAGTGAAATATTTTATTTTTAGTTGTGATGTGTGATTTAGGTTTGACGTATTTAGTTGTAATGTGTGGGTGTCAATTGTGTATTGTCATTGTGAATTAGTTTGAAGTGTAGTGTTTTTAGTTCATCGTTTGTTTGATCTGTTCGGGGGAGGTTGTTTAGTTCATCGAGTGATCTGTTCAGGGGGGTTTGTTCCAAGTTGATATACCAACTTTCTAACGTAAGCCGTTGTCTATAGTCAGTACTGTAAGTGATGCATTTTGCCGAGTCCCAGTCAATGTTGTGCTTTGTGATTCGGTGATGTTCGGCAATGTGATTAGTTTTGTCTTGTTTATTAGTAGCTCGTTTGTGCTCAGTAAGTCTTATGTTTAAGTTCCTGCCAGTTTTCCCGATATAGGAGGCGTGGCAGTCGGAGCAGTTTATTTTGTAGACTGCACCTTGTCGTTCGTTGGGTTGTTCTTTGTCCTTTATGTTCGTTAGTACTTGTCGTAACGTTGTGATTGGTTTATTTGCGACACGTATGTTGTATGGTCGTAAGATACGCGAGATAGTCTCAGACGTACCTTTGGTGTAAGGTATCGTTGCTGTTGTCACTGAGTTGTTCGTTTCGTTGGGTTCGTTTGGTTTGTAAGTGTTGCGTTTGATAAAGTCAGAGCTATAGTTGTTTTTGTCAAAAACACGTTTGACATAGTTGTTTTCGTTTTGTAGAGCGTCCGGTGAATCACATATGATTTGTGCACGTCTTGTTAATGTTCTGATTGTGGTGGCTTTGTGTGATGTAGGGTTGTAAGATGATTGGTCTAGTAGTCGGTCAGTATGTGTTGGATTGCGATAAACTGTTGTTCGTAGTTTTTGATTGTCATGTTTTACCAAACAGTCGAGAAAAGGAAGAGTTCCGCTTTCTTCGACATCTTTGGTAAATTGTATGTGGCTGTTCTGTTTGTTGATGTGATTATGAAAGTCTTCAATCTCGTCTGCATGTAGTGCTGTGATTGTGTCATCTACGTAGCGAAACCAAAAAGGTAGTGCATGTTTGTAAGTCGTGAGCGCCCGTTCCTCTATAGATTGCATTACAATTTCAGCAACTACAACAGAAATTGTTTTTACGCAAAAACGATGCCCACAAAATACATCTTGTATGGCCATAAAACGTTGAAAATGGCACTTCCAAGGCTCTGAAATTCAAAATTTCCCAGGGGAGAATGCCTCAGACCCCCCCAGGTGCAGAGCACCTCCGACATTTTATGACTGTTCAAAAAATCCTAGATCCGCCTCTGAACTGCAGTGACAACCACCAATTAGTCGAGAAATATCTCATTGCGTATTGCCATTATTATAAAGCGACGAAACTACAATACGATATATGCAGAATTACATGCAAACAAAGGGTAAAGGGATCTAGGGTAGTTGTGACTAAATCTAAAAACTTGAGCATTGAGGTCAGGGTTAGTTTTGTCAATGTGGAGTGCTTCTTTGATTTTAAGGAAGAATAAGGTGTCTGCAGTGTCGATGATTTTTAAGCAGGAGAGTGAATAGTTGATTTTACACGAGTGAGATTTAAGGTGTTGGTAGATATGAGAGTTTTTGTCTGTTATGCTACGTTCCATGAGTCTGGTGGATAAATGGTGCGAAGTTTCGCCAATGTATCGGAATTACATCCCGCGCAATTGAATTCATATTTTGTACTTCTTTGTAACCATTCACTTATACTAAAGATGGCATCATGAAATGTCGAAACATGAATATTTTCAAAAAAACTTGTCTTTTACTTTAAATGCACATTGGTGATATTGCTTCTACGAAATTGTGGAAGTATAGTGTTTGTTAACGTGTTGGTACACAACATAGAGTTATCAAAATAATATTAAGAAAATTATTTTCATTCTGTAGTTTATTTTCGACGTTGACGTGCTGTCACTTATTTGTAGGGCATTTTCACTACCCGCTTTCAAACAAACATGTCCAAATTTCACCTCTTAGGT